ACCGTAGAACTCAAAAATCTTTTCGTCTTCAACGTAAATCAAAAATCCCCAATTCCACTGAAAATGAAAAATCTTCTGACACCGACTTCGAAGATGAAATTCAACCCGAAGACGTCGATAGCGAGGGTTTGGAGAGCGACGAAGAATCCCCGATCGAGAATGTCAAGAAAACAATCAACAAAAGGCAAAAACAACAGAAAGATGCAGTTCAGAAGAACAAGAAAAAGAGAAAAACTAACACCGGCGTCCCAAGTGGTATCCAACATGTTCAGAAACAGATAGTGTATAAGGTAAATTTTCGTCTACATTCCATTTTTTTCATTATTATTTCTCATCTGAAAGATTATTAATTTTTTTATTGATTTTGTTTATTGATTATCAACTATATCCTTTTGTCAGTTTAATGTGTGTATGTCAATGAATAAATCGTCATGGGTACCTCTGATTTTTGTTTGACTAAGCATGTTATGTAGTCCTATGTAGTCCCAGAGTTTAATAATCTTACCCCTGTGCACTAACAGGGGTATATAGGAATTAGATTCATATGTATATAACCGGTGAATCAAATGACTGTATTTTTTTACAATTTTTCATTGTGAAATGATATAAATCACTTGGGTTAATGTGTATATTCCAAGTAAATAACACTGTTGCTCCTTTTCACTCTTCCAATTTGGTTTTGCATATCTGCATCATTTGCTCACATAACTTAGAGTATGGTATTTTTTTCTAGCCAACTATCCATGTTAATGTGCAAGTACTTATAAATTATATGGTATAGCTAAGTTACCTGTTCATTTTCAAGTAATTTTAGTGAGTACTATTGTATTTTTTTAAGTACTATTGCATCATTTCCTTCAATATTTATCTTATATTTTGTTCTGTAATATACCACATATATACCATGCTCCTTTGAAAACAACACTGTTCTGTAATATACCACAAGTATATTAGTATCCAAGTAAATTACATTGTTGCTCCTTTTCACTCTTCCTAATTGGTTTTGCATATCTGCATCATTTGCTTATCATGACATATATAATAAATAATGGCCAACTGGTGCTCTTTTATATCTTAAGTATATGGTCTGGTTTATCTTCCTTTACATGTCATGATAAGTATCTGGTGTAAATATACTATGAATATAACAAATATATAATCATACAGGTATATAAACATGATGTGTACATTAATCATACTGTAGGTTATAATATGGTTATATAAATTATAAATAAACTCGAGTCAAGTATGTTATCTGGGTATATATATCACATATATACTCAGTCAAGTATAATAATAAATTAGGTATGATTAATCAAGTATATTAATCAATCAGGTATGATAAGTATATTAATCAATCAGCTATCTTCCTAAGTTGGTATATTACTCAGGTTTATGGTATATATATAACAGAAATATACCAAGTATTTTTTCCAATACTGTAAGTGTTAACATATAGTAATTTATGATATGTATGATAGCTATAAGGTATATATATAACAGAAATATACCAAGTATATAATCAATACTTTAAGTGTTAACATATTGTAATTTATGATATGTATGATAGGTATATGGTATATATATAACAGAAATATACCAAGTATATAATCAATACTTTAAGTGTTAACATATTGTAATTTATGATATGGTCCTATATTATAAGTTACAATCAATACTGTAAGTTGTATCATATTGTATCATATTTGTAAGTTATAATCATGTATATCAAAAACCATATTGTTTTCTTTTCATTATTTTCAGGAATGGGAACTGCTAATCCCGCACCCCAGGGATATAAACGTGAAGGTGCAAAACAGTAACGATAACAGCAAGGAAAAATGCACGATAAGTGACATCAAGAAGATGCTTACCAAGGAACAATTGGAAGCTTTTAGGATGTCAGCCTTTGGGAAGTTCTTGGATCTCCCACACTGCATTATACAGAACCAACTCATCAACTATATACTCCTACGCGAGGTTCATCAGAGCAGGACTGATGAAATTTGGTTCGATTTCGGAGGGAAATTCCTCCGATTTGGGATAGAGGAATTTGCTGTCGTGACTGGTTTGAAGTGCACTGGACATAGTAAAAAATTGAATATTCCAAAGATTGCCGGTGGTCTGCACGACAAGTATTTTGATGTTGTGGAGTTAAGCAGGAGTCACATCAGGTGGCAGTTTTTGAAAAAATTGTGGGCGAATGATGAAGATGCAGTGAAATTTGCTAAGTTGCATTTGTTAGCAAATTTCCTCATGGGCTCTCAAGATGCTCTTCGCATAGATCGCTGTTTTGTCGACATGATTGACAGTCCTGAATGTGATGATTACTCGTGGGGAACCGCTGTGTTTCAGTTTACCCTACACTACCTGAAAAAATCAATCCAAACCAGAGAGCAGCTGCACATATCTGACAAGGATGATGGAAGCAACTTGTACCGGTGCTATGGTCTGATATTGGCTCTTCAGACATGGTTCTATGAGGTTTGCGACACGGCTGAGGGTGTAGTCGCAACCTACGTGGGTGTAAACAATATCCCGAGGATAATCAAGTGGGAAGTTCGGGAACCCTGTACTCGAAGTTTTGTGCAGAGAACGTTTTCTAATCTTGATCAATCTAAGGTAAAAAAAGATATTGTTCTTTACATATTCCTACATCAATCGCACTAACTAATTATTTTTCTTCTTTATTGTGCACAGTTCAATAACATAGTACCCACCGAAGCTGAGAAACAGACTCTTCTATTGGACTCATTCTTCAGAAAAAAAAAATGAGTTCACTCGGAAAAATATTCCGCCAACTGCCGCCACAGCACAACTTACCACTGATGATGATGATGTCATAAGCCGTCTCAACACACTTACTGCCGAAGTCCAGAGTCTGAAGGAGGCCTTCAACGACTTCTCCAAACGGGTTTTTGCCGAATTTGATTTATTCAA